TTACAAGATAATCATCATATGCACGTTGTAATGGTTACGAGTTACGACATTAGCTTAACTGAAACAATTCTTTACGAGTTTTATAGTCTACATGGATAGTCCAGCTAATCAATTTGACGCTGATTGTACTTTAATTGATTGAAAAATAATAATTTTGGCCTTCCAAATTAAATCCCGAAACTTCACAAATAATTAACATTAATATTATAATTATAATATTATATAAAATTATAAATTTATAATTTTAATATGATATTTAATAAATATATAATATTATAAATAAATTTTCAAATAAAAATAATTAATTATATATTAATATATTATATTATAAATTTATAATATTATATTATATTATAATTATAACATTTTCTAATAATCAATGCACATAAAGTATAAACAACACCCCCACCGAAGAATCACTCTTTTTATCTTTTAAAAAATATTTTTAAATCAACAATTTAAATAATATAATAATTTTTTTATTTAAAATAAAAAATTTTGGATTTAAATTTCAAATACACATTATATAAATAAGATAAAATAAAAAATAAAAAATAATCATCAATCATATCGTGTTAAGCAAGATAAAGAAGAACTCGGATGCAACTTGGCTTCTTAGTTCTTACCATGACAAATTAATGTCTCTTGCGGAACCTTGTCAATTACCCACTTCTCCAAACTCTACACTGGACCTATAAATTAATACGGAGTCTTTCCACCCTTACGAACCGCCACGTTCCCAATCCGAAACAGAGCCGTCATGCCACCGGCAACTAACTCTACTATCGCCGCCGATTCGCACGCTGCCATTCCTTACCTCTTTGTGGGTTTAGCAATTATGATTGCTCTCATCACCACCGCCCTCGCGATCCTGGGTTGCTCTTACAGTAAACCGCCACCCAACGAGGACGAAGAAGCCGCCGCCGTGAACCGATCGCGTATGCAGATGGAAATGGAGCCTAAGATTGTGGTCTTCGTGCCCGGTGATGAACTGCCCAGGTACGTTGCCAAGCCTGCCGCTGCCGCCCCCGCCTCCTCCACCACCACCTTCCACACCGATTAATTTTGAGAGCTTTTCTGCCTTCTAGTGGAGACACAGAATTCTTTCTTGATCTAAATCTTCTTCTTCTTTTTTTTCTTTTTTTTCTTTTTTTTTTTTTTGTGTTCTTGCCTCATGATGATCTCTTCTAGGGGGAGATTTGCGGGAATATGTAAATCTTGATGAGTTTATCTGAAAAAAATTTTTACCTTTCACAAATAATTTTGTTTGCTTGAATTTTCTGATCTTTACCATTCTTCGGATCATGAAGATAAAATTAATTTTTTTCATTAGTAAATTTTGCTATGTAATCTGCTGGCCTAATTTTTTTTCATAATTAATTAATTAATTAATTAAATTTTAGATTTATTTTTAATTGTTATTATAATATATATTTTTTAAAAAAAGAATAAAATAAAATAAAAATATTAATTGACGTTTTAAAGTAAATATGTATTAAAACAAATTTGGTGGACATCTAATTTTAAAATGTGTTAAGGGAAATGTGGAAGACGTTGCTTACTAATTTTATAGTTCTCCCAAATTAAAAATTAAGTCGTTATTAAAGTTGGCAGGAGGAAATATGAATTAATTTTTAAATGAAGTTTAATCGCATCTCAATACGGTTATTTTAAGAGTATATGCTACTAAAGTACACAGAGTCTGCTTTCCCCAGAATGAAACCAATTTTTTTCCCCCTTTTTATCATCCAATTTGAGGGGATATATCCTTGGTTTCCCCAAATTATATTACAATTTGAATTTGGAATTTTTAATTTCAAGAGGAATGTAATCATCATAAGATTACAAGATGGTTTTAGCAGAAATACACATAGCTTCCAAATTACTTTTATAGTTTTATCTTAATCTCAAGCTCTAGCTCCAGCCAAATGGTTAAAGCCATTAATTTTTTTTTTTTTTTACTAGAAATGAATTCATTTAACAAACTGCAAGTATTACTTCTTCTTTTTTTTTTTGAAAAGCAAATAATATATTTATTTTTTGAGTATAGGGGGTACTCAAACCCATTTATAAAACGACCTCATCAACACAAGAGGCCAGAGAACATTTACAACCTACAATAATCAGATAACCTCAATTTCTTAAACACTATTCACACATTCCCTTGGGTTTAGAATCCAATCAGACATTGTAAATTTCCATTCCTTCACTCTATTTTTTGACCATTGATAAGTCTTAATTTGAATAGAGTCAATAATTCTTCCAATATCAACTGACCTGTTCTTGAAGAGTTTATCATTTCTGGTATTCCAAATGGTCCAAACAATTGCAAACCACACAGATTCCCATCCTGCCTTTGTTTTACCATTATTTATCAACCCTTGATGTTGCTAGAATGCATCCCATACATTGTTTGCTGTTGCAATTTTAATATCCCACCATCTGTAGCAATATGACCAGACCTGAGAAGAAGTTTTACAATGCAAAAACAGGTGGTTGTTGTCTTCAAGGCATTTGTCACACAAAGAGCAATTAGTTTCTTGATATTCTTTCAAAATCCCTCTCTTAAGCAAGTTGGCCTTAGTTGGTAATCTATCAATGATTAATTGCAAAACAAACCCACATATTTTGTGAGGGAAGATTTGATTCCAAACCCTTTCATAGATTCTTGTTTAGAGGGTGCTATCATTTCCAACCAATCTTGTGTATTCGAAGCTTGAAGTATACCTTCCACACGATTTAGGTTCCCACCTTCATGAATCTCTTTCTCCTTGTATCAACATTGTATTTTGTAGGATGTTGTCCAAGTCTTTCGCTTTGTCTTGTTCCCAAGAATAAAGCTTTCGTTTCCATTGAAGATTCCACTTCCAGATGATTCCACTTCCAGATTCCTTTTTCCCAGTTTCCCTGGTTCAGCCTATTTTCTTTACCTGCAGAGATCAAATATAATCTTGGAAACATGTTAGCCAGCCAAAGTTGTCAATACCGTACCAATATGCGTACTGATTTTGCTACTGGAATGATATGTATCGGATACCAAAATTTTTTGCGTACCGTTTCAGATTTATCGTTATAAAAAAATTTTGTGAAAAATTGTGTGAAAAAGTTGAAGAAAAAAAACAAGAAAAGGACTCAATTGAAAAAAATTAAAAAGCTAAGGATGAAATTTACTAAAATAAACTCATAAATCCAACCCAACATTGAGCCTAGTAACAATTTAATTCAAGTTTCAACCCAATTTCATAAACCAACCAATCAAAACCCAAATTTAACAAAAAAAAAAAAAAACCTAGAATAAAGAGTATTAAGGGCCTGTTTGGTACAGCGGTTAAAATTCAGTGAATAGCGGATAGCGGGTAACGGATAGCAGATAGTAGTAGCGGATAACAGATGGCAGATAGCGGAAGTAGGTAGCGGATGGTAAATAGCGGATTCGATAAATATAATTGTTTGGCTATACAATAGTTAGCGG